ACGCTTTCTGAATACATTACTTCAGTGAATTACTCTAGTGTGAAGGTATTCTTCCTGCTGTTCTTATAACAAGTGCCACGTGTTAAGCATGAAGTAGAAAAGACACTAACATGCTAGACCAAATGTCTTTCAGTTGATTATTGTGCCTTGCAGTTATATCTCGGCTGCACTATAAATTTACAGACTCAACGGCAAGCGCTGCATTTGTAACTTTCTCCTCTTCTTGACCTCTACAGCTTAGTGTTATGTCGAAAGCAACAACAAGAAAATTTTGAAGCCTAAAACAAGTTTTGTATGCCCTGTTGTTTGACCAACCATTTCTATTTCATCTGTCTCAAAAAAAAAAAAACAATTTTTTAAAGGAAGAGAATTAGATTTCAAAATGCCTTATCAGCCACACAGCTCGCTAAAATTGTTTTCGGGCACTGCAATCAGATCGAAGGGCCCGAAATATCACAGAAGCCCAGCAACATCACTAACATATAGAATGCTTCATACCGATTATTCGAAAGGCTTTGGTATTCTCAGTAGTTCAATCCTAGTTTTTGTAATTTACTAAAAAAAAGGCAAGGTGTGTGCGCTACGTCTTGCCGGAATTATGATGCTGAAATCAGCATTACTATGAGTTACTGATTTGATCAAAAAATATGACTGGGATTGAGAATATCTAAAAATATTGCACACCTTGATATGTACCATCATGTTTCCCTTCCGGATGATCAAGTTCTACGCCACAAAAAACGCCTTCTTTGCCTTCAACTGGGCCAACATACATTAACGTACCAGCACCGACTCGTCCAACAATCACCCTCTTTCCCACATCCCGCCTACCAATCACCGCACCACCACTTGAAGCCTGCAAAATCCAATAACTGCCCTATTCTTATGCGTTTTTGCGTATTTGTGCATGTGCAAAATCGCACGTTGCCATTCATCGTTTGCTCGAGGGACTTTTTCTTCTCTCGTCATGCATCAGAACTTTCAAAAAAGTACACTGCACTTCAGCTGCGGAATATGTCTGGGATTAGCACTGCTACATTTTGCGCTTCTTCATGTATGTGAATTTGTATTTGCCTTTTCATCCGAATGCTTCAGATCTACGGCTATATGAACTAGGAAGTCGAAGCTTTGAAAACTGGTCGCGAGGCATTTTTCAGGTCAATCTGCTACATGGACCGTGGAATACGGACCAGTTATATGGACCAGCGTAAGCTCATCGTGCACACCGCGATTCACTGAGCGCTTGTACAAACGCAGTACATTATGAGACTGCGACTCCAGAACAGTTATCGCAAAAATGCTTTTTGAAAGC